TGTGTGAAGTCCTCATGGAACATAATGTTATGAACCTGACCTAATTTAATTTTTTTATCGTTATAACATCGCAAATTTTAGTCCAATAAAGGAGGGAAAGATACTAAGTTAGTAAAAGTAATAATGCTTGCTTTCTCTGAACTCTGAATTCTAAACGCTGGTCGGTTAAAGAATCTATTCATATTTAATAAGAATGACCTTTACTAGAGTTTTACGTTTTGGAATAAACCAAAAATAGTCTTAGTCAATATTATTAAATAGCTTAAATAGCTTTAATATCAATGCATATTTAAGATCACATACATTTTCCTAAAAATTTGTTCTTTAACCCCATTTTAATATTTCAAAAAGATTTTATGTTTGTTAAATAAAAAGAAACACAGAAAAAACTTTTCTAGAATTAAGGCATTTCTGTATTGAAGAAACTGTGAATATGATTGCTCATGCATTGCATTAATACAGTTCAATTTACTATACAGTTTACTATAAAATCCTTATACAAATATTTTAATGAGTACTCTGCCATGTCACAAAGTGTACTACGCGTCAAGTTGCAAGTGTATTGTGTCAGGTAGAATATGTATTGTTGACTACGTTCTGTATCAGGATGCAAGTGTACTATGTACTGTATCAGGATGCAAGTGTACTATGTACTGTATAAGGTTGCAAGTGTACTATGTACTGTATCAGGATGCAAGTGTACTATGTACTGTATCAGGATGCAAGTGTACTATGTACTGTATCAGGATGCAAGTGTACTTAATACTGTATCAGGATTCAAGTGTACTTTGTACTGTATCAGGATACAAGTGTACTATGTACTGTATCAGGATGCAAGAGTACTATGTACTGTATCAGGATGCAAGTGTACTATGTACTGTATCAGGATGAAAGTGTACTACGTTCTGTATCTGGTTGAAAGTGTAATATGTACTGTATCAGGTTGCAAGTGTACTATGTACTGTTTCAGGTTGCAAGTGTACTTTGTACTGTATCAGGTTGCAAGTGTACTATGTACTGTGTCAGGTTGCAAGTGTACTATGTACTGTTTCAGGTTGCAAGTGTACTTTGTACTGTGTCAGGTTGTAAGTGTACTATGGTCTGTGTTAGGTTGCAAGGGTACGGTGTACTGTGTCAGGTTGCAAGTGTAATATGTACTGTGTCAGGTTGCAAGTGTACTATGTACTGTTTTTGGTTGCAAGTGTACTATGTACTGTATCAGGTTGCAAGTGTACTGTATCAGGTTGCAAGTGTACTATGTACTGTATCAGGTTGCAAGTGTACTATGTACTGTTTCAGGTTGCAAGTGTACTATGTACTGTATCAGGTTGCAAGTGTACTATGTACTGTANCGGGGGGAGGGAAGTTGGGTGGGAAGGAGGAGAGGGGGGAGGAAGGGAAGGTGTACGTAAATATAAGATGAAAATATGTGGTATACAGATGAAAACTTAATAACAATCCAGATAATATAATTAAGAAAGCAGCAGCAAAAAATAGATATTTCTTTCAAAGTTTACGGTTATAAAGGCCTTATATATCAATGATAAGAATGAAGAAAAAAATGTACGGTAAATCTATAAAAAAAAATGCCGATCAGTAATGGAAAAAACTTCCCCCCGGGGCCCCGAATAATAAAATTAAACTTAAGATCAAAACGAAAAAGATAAATATGTCGACTTGGAAATAATTAAAAAAAATTTAATGAAAGATATCAATACAGAAAAGTTAAAGACTAGTGAGTAGGTATACGATATGTATTATTGTAAAGGATAAGCTGATTTATTTTAATTTCCAAGTTGGGAAGTTAGTTATAGATCGATTATTGCATGATATTTCTGTGTAACATATCAACAGTAAAATATAACTTGAAAGGTCTCAATATTTTCCAAAAATATAATTGTTGATAACATTTAAAGTTTAATAATGCGGAGAAGTTTTCATGCACATTGTTTAGTTTTGTTTAGAATTAATAACTATACTAACATTAATATTATAGGGTTGCTCATAAAGAATAAGAGACGACTGTACGTAATTTATTCTGTCGTTTTTATATGGCTGTTTAACCTTGGACTAACAAGATGCGTTCGGTTTTTATTTAATACAATCGAATTTTGGTCTATACAATAGGGATATTTACAGTATATTGTGTTGATTTTCTTTTTCATTTAAAACGCATCAGCTGAGAAAAAAGTTTAAAAAAAGGTGAAATATGTTCTATTTATGCACAATAGGTCAAATTGTGATCGAAAGTCACAGCTAAGTGGGTTACGGACTGAACTGATAAATCAACGTGCCTTAATTAATCACAAAACTTACATCTTGAGTGCCAGAGCAGGAGTTCTTTTAGATTGACTGATTATTTGCGACAAACTCTATTTTTTTAATCCCAATTTTTTCGCAACCTGATGGTGTGAAATAAACATTTGATGTTTCAAACTTTGGTTTTCAGGTATATCAGAAATTATAGTTTGAAATATGAAATTAGTTAAATCACAAAATCTAATAAGAAAATTAGAGTTTGTGTTGAGTATTCAGATACTTTATATTAATATAGTTATCAAACTATAACAACTATTTTTTGACGCTTACTTGAATATACGCTTTCACACACTCTCTCTCTCTCTCACTCTCTATCTCTGATTAATAATGTATGCGAACCTTGAACTTGGTATAATCTGTGACATAATATAACTTGGCCAACATTTTAATTATTTATATATAAACATGAAGTTTATCGACTCTAGGCTAGTTGATCAAATATTTATTAGATAGAGTCTCAACTCTCAACTCTGCATTAAACTTAAATAAATTTAAGAGTTCCTGGCTTGTAAATTTATAAACAAACTGCATGCAGCGCAGTTTATGCAGTTTAATTATATATTTTTTGTACAAGGTGTCTACGCTCTTTAGAGTGTCTAAACTCTACAGGGTGTCTAAACTCTACAGGGTGTCTGTACAACACAGAGTGTCTATACAACACAGGGTGTCTATACTCTACAGGGTGTCTACACTCTACAGGGTGTTCATAATGTACAGGGTGTCTATACAACACAGGGTGTCTATACAACAGTGGGTGTCTATACCCTAAAGGGTGTCTAACTCTACAGGGTGTCTACATTCTACAAGGTGTATACACTCTACAGAGTGTCTACACTCTACAGGGTGTCTAAACCCCTACAGAGTGTCTATACTATACAGGGTGTCTATACTCTACAGGGTGTCTACACTCTGCAGGGTGTATACACTTTCCAGGGTGTATACACTCTACAAGGTGTTTACACTTTACAGAGTGTTTACACTCTACAGGGTGTTTACACATCATAGTAAATCGTGCTCTTGCATGGTCTAGATGAGGATTTTTGGGACACGACATGAAAGTTTAAAAGATAAAAAAATATATTGGGGTTTAAGATATTCTGTGCGTATTTTGGCATTATAATCCAATATACACAGAAAGTGCTTTTCTATTTATAATTTGACTCCGTCTTCTCTCAAAATTCTTATGAATGGTATTTTAGCAATCTCTTGATTCTCTTATTCTCTATAAGTGTCATTGCCCCATATCTTTTTAAGCGAGGAAGTGGAAGGAGGATTCTAGATTTTTTTCTAGACAATTTTTTGTGATGTTTTTTTGATGGTTATTATATCGTTAGAACTGACGAGGGTCAACCTAGACCGAAATCTATTTTCAATAAATGTGGAACTAACATCTACTTTTTTAGTCTACACAGGTTTGGTTCATCACCATCAGCGAATTTTAAATTTTTTCATTTAGGCATATAAATAGATCAAGTCACATATTTTCCTGTAGTGTAGCCCAAAACTTGAGATGTTATGAGTCCTAAAACTAATATTGGGGTAAGAATCAGGAGGGGAGGTTATAGACTACTCTCCCCCCCCCATACCATTGCTAGCTAGCTGGGTAAAAGGTTTGGAGACGTACGATGAACTTAAATTTTTATTGATCACATGACTAATCAAGGTTGTGGTGGAAGTAGGAGGGGTGGGGGGAGGTGGTGGCTGTTACCCCTCGGATTTGGACATATGACTAATAATATTAACCATATATTAATGTTTTCCGTACTATGTTCATTGTAGGCACATATTATCTTTCTAATTAAACAATTCTAGTAGAAGAAAGCTTAAGAAAAAGCATCAACTAAGGTTACAGAAGCGAAATTTTTAGACAAGCTACGGACAATACTGACAATATAGACATTGCGGACAATACAGACAATGCAGACAATACAGACAATGCAGACAATACAGACAATGCAGAATATACAGACAATGCAGAAAATACAGACAATACAGACAATGCAGACAATACAGACAATACAATACAGACAATACAGACAATACAGACAATACGGACAATACAGACAATACAGACAATACAGACAATAAAGACAATACAAACAATACAGAAAACAAAGACAATACAGACAATACAGACAATACAGACAATAAAGACAATACAAACAATACAGAAAACAAAGACAATACAGACAATACAGCAATACAGACAATACAGACAATACAGACAATAAAGACAATACAAACAATACAGAAAACAAAGACAATACAGACAATACAGACAATACAGACAATACAGACAATACAGACAATACATACCATACAGACAATACAGACATTACAGACATGACAGACATGACAGACAATACAGAAAATACAGACAATACAGACAATACAGACAATACAGACAATACAGACAATACTGACAATATAGACATTGGGATAATACAGAGAATACAGACAATACAGAAAACAAAGACAATACGGAAAATATAGCCAAAATTGACAATACAGACAATTCATCCAAATGAGAAAATATGGTTGGTACAGAAACATTATATTTTATGATAATTGATATACCCAAAGTATAATTTTTAAGGTTAAAAATGCCATATCTGTTTCTGTTCGGTAAAGGCGTTTACAAGGATACCAGAGGCAACTAATGAATCATAAACAAAATTTGATATTTTTGTATTATTTATTACGATATCGAAGTACAGGAGTACATGGTGCAACATGATGGTGTACTGAGGTACATATATATAAGTGGACTTCTGATGTACTGCACTGTTATTTTACATAAAATAATGTACAAGTACTGGTGATATGTACAATGTATTGCAATGGAGCCAAAAACTCAACACAACTCATTGTACCGTACATGAGTGGAAAAGGAAATGTGAAGTTTAATTGGAAAAAGAATAAATAAAATAATGTTTATATTTTTATTTTTAAATTTTACTGAAATATTAACTTGAAACGTTGGATATTTATATGCACTATCTTGTACATCATAAGCCCCAATGCAATGTATTTTTGTTTGGTTTGGTTCAGACTAATATTGAGCAACTAAGGTGGCTTCTCATACTTCACGTTTAATCCATGTAACTTTAAGACTGAATAAGGGAACAGTTATAACAACACTGCACATGTTTTACAATTTGGAACGTTTTTTTACTGGTCAAGTTAATAAAAACATGTTACGGACATAATTTTAACTATTTTGATTTTCAGAACCAAGGATATGCAGACTTATTTTTTCGTCGCAAAATCATGCCCCTTGCCAGCTTTTAAAAAATCTAATTGTTTGTATTTTTTTTTAATCTGGAAAATCAACACTAGAACCATTCATGTTTTTTTGAATCAACCAATTCGAAGATAAAATTAAAACAATTGGTATTTAAAAGTGTTTGACCCATGAATGTTTTTAAACCTGAGTATTGATCAGTTGACTGATTTATCACAATTACAACATTATTTCCTGCTTTAATAAAGTACGAGGAAACATGATCACAACATTGTATAAGATAAAGGGTTACTCCATTTAACATTTTTTTAATTTTTAAGTCAGAGTTCGTTTAGATATTTTTAAATCGCCACCATGAGATCAAGGGTTGGACTAGATGTGTTATTTTTGGACTAAAATAACATTTTGGTAAAAAGTAACCATTGTAAAAAAAGTTATGATATAATATTTTTTAAAGATACGTGAAACATAATAAATAAAAATTCAAATTTTTAAAAAAGATTATGTCTGTACACCGTACACATGTTTACTAGGGTACACTGTACATATTTTGATATGTAAGATATTTCATGGTTATGCACTCAAAACTTATAATTGGAATGTTTTAAATTTCTGTATAAAATATTTAAAGTTTTCTAAAGGAAAAATTATTTGTTCTAACTTAATCTTTGGATAAACAGAAACTTAGGACTGTAACTGTAAAAAAGATTTACTATTGTGGTCAGCTGATGAGTTTAGAACTAGTATGTTTGTATTGAACTTTAATATAGATCCACTTAACTCCAGTTATTGAATGAACATCACAGTAGGTCCGAGTTTACGAAGGCAAAGGGAAAATTTTGATTATATAACTGATGATTGATTGATTGCTAGTGTATACCACTTTGCGCGGCAAACTTCATGCGCTTTTGCTTCTGTCGCTGGTTACAGAACCAAACACGGACCACATTCTTCTTCAGGTCCAACTTCTCAGCAATAGCAGCAATCTTTTCTCCGCTGGGCCGGGGTTGGACTGCAAAGTAGGCTTCAAGGGACCGCTTCTCTGGAGCTGCGATGGAAGTTCGTTTACGTTTTTTCTCTCCATGTGCTAGCATACTATTAGTTCCATCCAGGTCACGCCTATTGTTGCAATACATTTGCTTAACAATTACTAAGGGGGATAAATGTATTCATCTGTGGATTGTAAAAGAGAAAAATATCAGGACTAACAAAAATTGAAATTTAAAAAAATCTTTTGATATGTCTATTGAACAAAAAGAATCCAGATTTGTCCATGGAACAAAAAAATTCAGATTTGTTTATGGAGCAAAAATAATCCTGATTTTTCCATTGACAAAAAGAATCCTGAAATATCCATGGAACAAACTTAATCCTGATTTTTCCCTAAATTAATCAGAATCCTGATTTGGGTTCATAGCAAGCAAAATTCTGATTTATCCATGGAACAAACTGAATTCTGATTCATCCATGGAACAAGAAGTGTCCTGATTTGTTCATGGAACAAGAAGAGCCCTTGTCCATGGAACAAGCGGAATTCCCTTTGGTCCAAAGAACAAACATAATAATTCGGAGCTATGGAAGAAGTAGAATCCTGATTGGTTCATGGAACAAACGGAATCCTGAAATTCATTCATAGAACAATCAGAATTTTGATTTATACATGAAAATCCTGATTCATCCATGGAACAAAAAGAATTTTGATTCATCCATGGAACAAACAGAATCCTGAAATTCATTCATGGAACAATCAGAATTTTGATTTATCCATGGAACAAATAGAATTTTGATTTATCCATGAAAATCCTGATTCTTCCATGGAACAAACAGAATTTTGATCCATCCATGGAAAATACAGAATCTTGTTTTATGCATGGATTAAGTAGATTGATGGAAGACAAAGAATCGTGATTCTTTCTTGGGAAGAAAAAGCACCCTTATTTTCCCCTGAATTAGTCAGAATCCTGATTTCATGGAAACTCCAAATTTTCTTTGATTTCTCTACAAAAAATACAGCTCGGTGTAAATTAAGCATTTTTTCCCAATTAAAATCAAAAAAGGATTTAAGTTTCTCAAATGTATTGAAACATCCCTGGCAGCTTCAGCCTCGTCTAGCCACGCCATCAAAACCGGTTTCAACGCAATCATGTTATTGTGCGACAATGTGAGGGATTCAAACCGACATATGGTAGACTGGGAAAGAGCACCAACCCCAGGCAGCTTTAAATTAGCCAAAGCTTTTCCTACATCACACTGTGTAACCCCAAGCTTTATTCGTCTCTGCTTGAAGCGCTCTGCGAAGGCCTCCAGCTCCCTTGGATCTGTGTCCGCATCACTCATCGGCATTACATGGTGAGGATGATGTGGATGATGGAGGGGGTTGTGAGGAGACATCATTCCGCTGTGGGTCTGAAACATGTCCAAAGCTGAACAATTTTTCTCAAGCTAAAATAAAAACTCTGATTCAAAAGTAAAAGTTACAAAACCTTGAGGTAAAGAAAGCTCTAAAACTAGTTTTAATCTCTACCTGGTACATTGACATAGAAGGATGGATCCCATGTGAGGATGTTACACAGTCTCCCATGCTTCCTGATAACCCTGACATACCTCCTCCTCCAAGCATATCCAGAGACATATCGTGTACATCCATCTACAATATCTTCAGTTTAGAAACCTTCAACAACTAGGTAAATTTTCTCACTTTATTAGATTCTCCCATAGATTTTTTCGACAATTTTGAATCATGAATACAGAGAAAATTGCCGGATTCTAAAATCTCCGTAATTCATTTATGACAATCTTTAATAATACTGATAAAATGACATTAATGTTTTTGTTTAAACATGGCTCTAATTTATATTGTACACTATTGTAATATGGATATCAATTGTTATAAATAGAAAGATTTGAACCGTCTGCTGTACATTTTAGATTATAGAGATATAAATAATAGATTCTACACATATCATTCTGTTAGATGCATGCAGGAGGAAAAGAACTGATTTGCTTATCAATGCATAAATGATGAATCAAAAATAGATCTAAAATTGAATTCTTCATTTTCTATTGTACTTCAAACTAAAAGGATTTCTTGACAGAAACGAAAAGAACCCAGGGGGGGTTCATAAGAGGAAGGTTTACATCCCCGGGGGGGGGGATTAAACAATATAGCTGCCAAGCAATTTCCCCCTGAAAATTCCTGTCTACGCCCTTGATAGAACTATAATTCAATTCTCATTCAATCAATCAATGAATTGGTTTCTCATGCAGGGTTTGGGAAAAATCATGCAATGAAAGTGAACTATCTGTTAAGATTTATTCTAAAAAGAAATTGTGTTTTGTGCCCAGTGAGATATATAGACTTTATTTAAAAAAATAAGTTAGGGTAAAGGGTTAAGAAGAAGTAATTAAAAAGAAGTAAAAGATGAGAAAAAATATGAAAAATAAAGTTAAGGGCCCATCTACGGATACTGACCACATTTTTTTGCTTTTCGGTCCATCTCGAGACCCCCAGGCAGGCTTCTTGGTACCACTTAGAACAAATTTACATTTATTTGAATATCTTTTGTTCAAACACTTAGATTTCAATGAACATATGTTAAAAAGTTAAAAAGGAAATTCAGCGAAGTTTAATGAATAAGTTTATTGAATTTTGAGAAGGATTTAAGATGTTATAAACAAACACTAGTTAAAAAATGTTGAAAGCGTAACTTCTAGTGACCCTCCATGCAAAGATGTCAATGCCCACTTTACAACGATACCCTTAAAACCTTAATTTGATCAAAAATGTGGAAGATAACGCCTTTTTCTACTCAAAATGTGTTAAATTCTAATAATTTCTAAATTGTTTCTTTTACGCAAGAAATGAGTGAGTAATTTTTGAAGAGAAACCACAAATGCAACAAAACTTTCAATGGTACCGTTGTAAATCGGGCGTTGCAATCTTTTTGCATGGAGGGTCACTTGAAATTACGCTTACAGTCCCATTATTATTGCACATAGTGTTTATCTATTACGAATCATTTTTAACTTTTCTCAAATAAAATACAAAAATCCTTGAAAGTGGAAATTGTTTTGATTTTGGAAGTTTTCTGTCTCTAGAACTGACAAGAGACGTAATAAGGGCGCAAAAGCGGACAGGTATCCCCGAATTTCTGATATAAAATTGAGTGAAAAATTAAATAGAAGAGCCAAGTAAAGAGAAGAAAAGAGCTCGCGTTTAACAAGTATAATTTAGATGTCGTAAACTACTATAAATGAATAAATTAATAAACATTGAACTTAATTTTGTGTGCGCAGACTAATAAAACAGTTGAAGGGTTCATAGTATTTAGCTCGTACAAAAAGTTTGTGTTTTGTAGAGTTAGGAAATTAGTACAGTGCCTTTAACACGAAGTGCAGTACAGTACACAAATACACACATCTCATGTTCAACAACAAAACACAAAAAAAGCTTGAGCTTCTCATGCTTTTTAAAAAATATTTCAAATTAAACTTTTAGAGTTGATATTCTATGAAATAAAACGGGTTTGAATATATTCGCATTTTTCATTTTATCAAATGGTCTTTTTCCTTAAATCATGGTTTTTAAACTGATCCGGTTTTTTCTATTTTACTGTCCAATGTCAATTTACAAGAGCATATTCATATTCAATATACAGAGTTACCCACAAAGGATGAGACTGTAAAGACGACCCAAAATTCTAAAAATATGACGATTTAAAGCTTGATTTTTTGTTTCTGCGTTCAATTGAGTATTTTGATGGTTAACAAAATGTTTAAGCACAGAAATAAACCAGTTTTGGCCTACAAAAGAAACCTGAAGGCAAGAGAACGGACTAAACAAATTCCATATAGTCGTCTCTAAAGTCTTATCCTTTGTGGGTAACCCTGTATAAGTAAACTTTTAAATCGGAGTAACTGGGTTATCTGTTTAAGGTAATACTTTAGGGTAATTCGGTCATTCAAAATTAATCTTGATGCAATCAATCTGATTTTATTTCATTTCCGAACTGAAATCTCAGAGATATCCTACGTTAGTGCGCATTTTAAAATCTTTGTTAAAAAAAAACAAAATTTTTAGGGGGTGGGGGTAGGTTTACCTGTCTGGAGGGAGGGGGTCCGGGAGATGACATCTGTGGGTACATCATATCCTAAAAACAAAACGTGAATTTTTAACGAATTATCAAGATAAATTAAGATATATTTTTCCAGCCATTTACGTCTGAAAGTAGATGACAAATATTTGTTTGAAAACATATATATTAAAAAACCTGTTTGATATGTGGTAAAGGTCCTGGAGTAAGATTCACCGAATCCCTAAACATATTAAATTATTAAAAAAATAATTCAATTAACTTCAATATATATACTTTGGTGAACGACTGAACCGATTGGGCCCAAATTTTGTGTGGGACCTCCCACGACACCAGGGAAAGTTTATGGATGCTAAGAATTACAAAAATCTACAAACGAAAATTGTAAATCCGTGAAATTATTTATTTTTGTTTCATCGAAGAGACAATGCTCATAGATTAAGCAAAGTTTCAATAGAAGATATCCTAGTTTTCTAGATTTCAGCGCTTCTCATTTATGTATTGGATTATTCCAGGTTTAATTACATGTTGATTAGAAGATAGGAACAGGGGCCTCGGATGAACTTAACATTAATTAATTAAATAATTACCTAAGAGAATGATGTGAGAGGGGTGTCCCAGAAGGAGTTAAAGGGCCCGGGGATACAGGGTGCTAAATTCAGATATCAAAAATTAAATTATTTTCAAAATAAAAACTTGAAGATCTAGACGCAATTTTTTTATTTTCCATACGAAAAAAAATTATCTTTGAAAATCAATAAAACTCTTTAAAAATCGAATATTTAAAAAAAATAATTTACCTTCATATCTAGAGCAACCAAACCTTCTCTACTCAACAGCTCATTGTTCAACCCAGAGAATATCATACTGTCCTAAATATTATTATTCAATTTATCAGGGGGAACTAGTTCAAAATCATGATCAAACTGTCCTAAATATTATTATTAAATTTATCAGGGGGAACTAGTTCAAAATCATGTTCAAACTGTCTTAATTATTATTATTCAATTAATCAGGGGGAACTAGTTCAAAATCATGTTCAAACTGTCTTAATTATTATTATTCAATTTATCAGGGGGAACTAGTTCAAAATCATGTTCAAACTGTCTTAATTATTATTATTCAATTTATCAGGGGGAACTAGTTCAAAATCATGATCAAACTGTTCTAAATATTATTTTTCAATTTATCAGGGGGAACTAGTTCGAAATCATTATAAAAATGGAAAGTTACTTGTAAATGTAATATACAATATTTATATATCTAGATAAATAATCCAATTTATAGAAATATTTTGTATCATTGGAAAGATTTTCATATTTGGTATTAATGGTTGAAATATTGATTTCAATCACTCCGTATATTGCAAGTAAAGTAAAAGTAAAAAGAAAGCTCTCTAAAAAGTTTAAAATGATTATGTTTGATCCTAACTTAAATTGAATATATTGATTTCTCCACATACACGTACAGCAAATACTGACCATAGTTTGTATGGTTTATCAACCTCATATTTTCCCTTTTCACTTGCAAAATATTTTTATTCCCTATTTATCCTCCCACATTTTTGCGGCAAGCGCGCTCCTCAATTGGTAATCTCCCTCGTACGCCCCTGCCCATGTCCCCCCCTCAACCACATTCAAGTAACCCCTCAATTTCTAATCATCTTACAATTTTTACAAATCATATAAAATTTACCAATATCTTTGAATAAAATGAAACCAAACAATATTATTGTACATGTTCAATAAATTTGAAAAATTAAGAAGAAGACAAAACATGAATTAAATAGAATACAGAAAACCACGGTAGAAATATTCAGACGCTTATTGATTATAAACGACAGGTGTACGAACGTCTGGGTGTGTTTGTGTTCGTGGAAACCCTGATTGTCTGTTCGTGAAACAAATAATTCTTTGCTTGCAAAAACAGCACTGCTGTTCTTTTAAAGATTTCTATCTATCTTTCAATATTTTAATCTATCTATCTATCTATCTATCTATCTATCTATCTATCTATCTATCTATCTATCTATCTATCTATCTATCTATCTATCTATCTATCTATCCTTCTCCCCTGAGTGTTGCTGACCATCAATATATGTCCTTATAACAAGATTGTATTCACATTACTCAAATACATACCATCATTTATACACATACACTCACACACTCATACTTAGATATGCATACTTGTAGGAGTAAACTAGAAATATAGATAGATAGATAGATAGACAGTCCATTAGAATTATATTGATTTAAGATGTATGATTAATATGTCATTCCAGAGTTTTCAAAACACAAAATTTATCTATATATATATATATATATACCAATGCACATTACACAAGGGAAAGGTTATAAAAAGATGTCCTTCAAGAATGTCAATAGTTGAAAATCCACAGATGAAATAAAAGAGTTTGTAATTCTAATTTTATTTTAATTTACGAAGAAAAACTATCACATCAACATTCAAGATATCGATGCTTTTATAGTGTTTAATTCTGACAATTCCATCTACTCTTTATGTAGAGGAAAGATCCTCAAATAGGGGAACTAAATTTGAAACTTTTAAGGGTACCGTTGTAAATCAGACATGTAACTTTGTTATATTTACAGCCCCTTTAAAAGATAGCATTAATACAAGAAACAACAAACGTAGTTTAAAAAGTTTGTTTCCCCCTTTTTTAATTATAATCTTTTGTAAAACCATTTTCCTTTTCATTTATCTAAACATTCGTTTCCGGTTCTGCATCATATATATCCCGCCCCTTCATCCTTCCTTTAGATCCCCCCCCCCTACCCCCCTCATTCCCCTAGGATTCCCCTGGTTTTTGTTTAAGTATTATATCCGTTAATCTGTTGAAAAGATAAAATGATTGAACATGATCTCTTGTCCTCACGCGATCATGCAATCAATCATCTATTCATTTATTAACCATCCTTCCATCCTTCCATCCTTCCATCCTTCCATCTTTCCATCCTTCCATCCTCCTTTCCAGATTCCTGTCCTCTTTCTTGTTTAAACCCTCTAATTTCTATCCTTTCTTTTCCTCATTCTTCCACTTTTTTTACCTTTTCCTTCAATGCTTTAATTTCAAGCATTCTTTTATTCTTAATTTCTTCCTTTGATTATTCTTGAATCCTTTCTTCCATTCTTTATTTTTAACCATCCTTTCACTTCTAAATTCCTCCTCCCCTTCCCATATCATTTCTTTAATTCCTCCTCCCCTTCCCATATCATTTCTTTAATTTGTTTACTTCATAAGTTTGTTTTACTCATAAATTCTTCCTTTTTTCAATTCTCTAATTTTATTTTTAAGCATCCATTCAATTCTTCTTTCATTCATACATCCTTTTCTTTTTTTTCAGACATTTCAACGATCATTTAACTTCTAAATTTTGCCTTCAATTCATATCTTGTATTCAATTCTTTTTTTTTAAAACGATTCTTTCAGTAACAAATTCTCCCATTCATTGCATCCCCATATCCTTTCTTCTTTTTTTATTTTAACTATTTTTTCACTTTTTAATTCGTTCTTACATTCGTATTTCCATATCCTTTCTTCCAGTCTCTATTTTCATGTTCATCCATGTTTTTAATCCATTCTTCCTTTTATCCCCATTACATTACTTTTTTATTCAATCCTTAACGAAAAAGTAAACTCTTTTTTTTTAGAAATAACTCAGTAAATATTTGATCTTAAAATCTAGTAACGTACCTATACTAATGTGAAGTAGGAGTTTTCTTTTTCTCTTACATTTAGTTTAATTTTTTATTAGAAGTTTAATCGACATGTATCCGATATTAGTAATATTTACCAACTCTTCATAAAATTTTGCGACTTTTCGACGAATCTTTAAAATTAGCTTTATAATTATCTAAACTTTTATATCTCATTTATTATTATAATTAGTAGACAGTGTTCTTTTTACAGAAAAACAGTTTCTTGTAACGTTTAGGTAAGTCAGATTTTATTTTAGTTTGTTTGGATTAATCTAGATTTAAATGCTAAATGGANGGGGGACTAGGGGGCTAATCGTCTCTCGAAGTTAAAATTATTATTTTCAGGGAAAATTTATCCCCTAAACGAGAGGAAAATCAGATAAGGTTAAGCTAAGAAAAACTCCTTACATATATACGCCTCTGTTTAGATTAGTATGATTAAAAAGCAGTTTATTTCGATAATTAGTTTAGCTTAGTTTTGTTTTATTAAATTTATCTTATACTTAATAAATGTACTTATTTAAAAAAGATTGAGTTGCCTTACAGTATTAAGAAATATTTGCTAAGATTGTTATGTTTTAAATATATAAAATCTGGAATAACAAACCGTTTATGTTTGATTAGATTAGATTGTACGGGATGGTTAGTAAATCAACCAAGCATGACCCCCTATATACGAGGTAGTGTAGGCAGGGGAAATAAAAAATCCTGCTATAAATTTAGCTTTTATTTAATTCTAAATTTCATAAAAGTTAGAAACTTAAATTGCATTTCTCAAATAAAAAAACCACAGATATTTATCAAAAATAAAGAATAATGATAAGTGACACTGTGCACTGTACAGTGTAGTTCATTGGTCTGATTAATCCAATATGTCCTAATAAATCGTTTTACTGTGTTATAATATATAAAAATATTTCCCGCATTTATATTTTATAATATCAAATCCGAGGCCCTCAGATAAAAATGTAGAAGTATGAACTGAACACTAAGAATTTGGAGATGATTAAACTAAGTTAGGTTGAATCAAGGATGTAAGGCAAGGAAAGTCATTTCAGAAGTGTACACATCTTTAGTACTGCAGTGTACTGTCTCTGGGCGCTAATGTAAACACAAGACGGATGTCGAAGCCTGACATGGGATCCATCATTCACATAAAAAATCAATGAAATATTCTGGTCATAGGAAATTATTATGTCAATTATCAAAATTATCAAAATTTAATGCTTTTAACCTCCTCGGATACTAAACGAACACTGATGCATCTATTATTGTTTACAAATTCCGCCCAAAGAGAACTGGTTTCAATATGTACACAGAGTATACACGACCGCAATTGACTTTCCTTGCCTTACATTCTTGGGTTGAATTCACTATTCACTATTTTAATCAGCCGACATTTTTTAAAAGTTACTTACCGCTGAGTTAGCTACACATCTTCTCATAGAATGCTCTGGTACTCTAAAAAAAATCGTAAAACTAACTTAGACTTTTTTATTAAAATGATTTGTTCCAAAAATTCTAATATTTGTTTTGCATTTGTTTAAAGTAAAGTTACAAAAAGTTATTTATTTTAGATTTTATTGGAATTTATGAGAATAGTATTTGTTTGAAATTAATATATTTTGGATTAAAGTATAAAAAGAATGTATATATATATATATATAAAAAATGTATATAGATTTTATATAACTTTTTTTAACATTTAAACATGCAAATTATTCCATATCGCTCTCCACTAAACCCTACTATTCATTCGGTCAGTGTACTGAAAACCACTGCAGTACACACCGAAAGATTAGTTGAGGATGATATCATATCAATATATATAAACAAATCTCTAATCTCTAATCTATAATTTATAATCTCTAATCTCTAATCTTTAATCTCTAATCTCTAATCTCTAATCTCTAATCTCTAATCTCTAATCTCTAATCTCTAATCTCTAATCTCTAATCTCTAATCTCTAATCTCTAATCTCTAAATCTCTAATCCCTAATCTCTAATCTCTAATCTCTACCTGTATGTCGGTGAATATCTTCCTGAGAAGCAGTTTGAAGAGGAGATGGGGGGTCCCAGGGGTTTACCCCCCATCTTCATCTCAGCCCAGCTAGTCATCATCATTGGGCTAAATATAGAAAATTTATAAAAACATAGAAATATATTATACATATAAAATACACTGCAAACTAGACAGAAGGTCAAATTTGTGCCAAATTACTGGTCCAACTTTGTGATCTCGTAGTTTTAGTTGTAGAGAACAGAGAACAGAGAACAGAGTACAGAGAACAGAGAACAGAGAACAGAGAATCGAGAACAGAGAACAGAGAACAGAGAAGAGAGAAGAGAGAAACGAGAACAGAGAACAGAGAACAGAGAACAGAGAACAGAGAACAGAGAACTGAGAACAGAGAACAGAGAACAGAGAATAGAGAACAGAGAACAGAGAACAGAGAACAGAGAACATAGAACTGAGAACACAGAACAGAAAACACAGAACAGAGAACAGAATCAGAGTACAGAAAACAGATTGTAGAAAAATATTTAAAAAAACATTTGTGTGTATTGTATATTTAAAACGTGTTAAGAAGGTGTTTAAGTGTTGAACAGTTGTCCATCCTTATCCTTATCCTTATCCAAATCCAATCTAATCCTAATCCGATGTTAAGATAGATACCATCTCCAGTAGTACTCGTCCTTCCCCCTTATTTCATAAACCAAATCTTTCAGACATGTCTTTGTGCACTTTAACCGATATCATTCTTTTTAGTAAATCTACCATAATATTGATTTGTATGCAATGGCCAGATAAACATTATTTCAAATCCCCCAAAGGAATGGAGTTTTTGTCACAAACTCTGAATTTATAATCCCTATATATTTAGAACCCAATGTTGTAAATCTTTGATATTTCAAACTTATATTATTTGATTTAACAGAATTCATAGTTTGAAATATCTAAGATCTACGACATTGGAATCCAAAGATATAGGGTTTAGAAAAGCTGAGTTTTTGGCAAAGACTCAATTCCTTTGCACTGAGAAAAAAATGTAACTTTCTTAAAACTTCACATAAATACCCCTGCACCATCCACTCTAAAAGTTCCCTTTGGCGGATTTTTAATCTTGAATTAGTAGATTTGTATTCCCTAGCCAATTGTTAGGACACAGTGAATTGAATTAGACAGAAGGGAAAAGATCAAATAGAGAAAGAGGGCGAAAGATATATGAAGATTAAAGATGGAGGGGTATCTGGAGACATGAAAGTGTTGGGATGGATACTACAGATCAATGATCAAGCAGATTCAGTTTGTTTGTAAAATTTGAGGGTTATGGGGGATTAAGCTAGCTTCTTAAACAATTTAAATTTATTTTATTTTAAATCTTAACTCTTCCGAAATCGATTCGTAAAGTTCCAATATGTCTTCTAGCTAATAACCAAGGAAAGATTGGAATTTAAAAATGTCTATTACTGTAGACTGTAGACTGTAGACTGTAGACTGTAGACTGTAGACTTTAAATTTTAGACTGAAATATGTAGACTCTGTAGACTTAAACTGTAGACTGTGTAGACTGTGTAGACTTTAGACTATAGACTGTAGACTACTGTAGACTGTGTAGACTGTGTAGACTGTGTAGACTTTAGACTGTAGACTGTAGACTACTGTGGACTGTGTAGACTGTGTAGACTTTAGACTGTAAGAGTGTAGACTGTAGACTACTGTAGACTGTGTAGACTGTGTAGACTGTAGACTGTAGACTACTGTAGACTGTGTAGACTGTAGACTGTATAGACTGTAGACTGAAGACTTTAAACTTTGGTGACGTTAAGCGCCCCAAATTCTTAAAAAGTAATTTTACTTTTACAACGCGGTCAAGCAAATATTAAACAAAAATTAAAACGAAACTGAAATATAAAATATATTCCATTAAATATTTAATCAAAAGTTGTTTACTTAGTAAAATATCTTTTGATTAAATCGCGAATTTATTAAACGTTATTTGCAAAAATTATAAAATTCGCAATATAGTATTGCAGGTCTCATATGGGTTTATATATCGACTAATTTTAATAATTAAATAATAGAATTTAACATCGGAATTTTTTGTTGGTTTTGATATATTTTGATCAGCAGTGTTCATTGTTTTTCTTTGTATAACTTAGTTATTGAAAATAATATTTAAATTTAATACTTTTTTTAGCAAATTCTTCTGAAGGCCCATTTTAAACCATTTACATGCAGGCTATTGGATTAAAGTCCATTTTGACCCCCGTTATGCCGATTATACATTTCTAGAAACCTGAGTTTTCCATGAATTGATATTTAAAAACTGTCCCAGCTATTATGGGACATAAAAAAAGTAAAAAGAGAGTATTTGTATGTATTTTATAAATTACTAGCGTTGCCCGTGGTATTTTAAAAATCATCCAATAACTCGGAGGAAAACGACCTCATGGAATTATCCAACTAACAATTCTTTATCACCTATAAGGATAAAATATTCCGCCATTTTTTTCTTTTAAAACTTCCGGAGATACAGTGAAACCCTTAATAACGAATACATCAAAATAATTCATCAAATGTCGTATTCTTCACTTTCTGATAATGGAATGTTGCAGATATTTAGTTTTTTTAAATTAAATGATTATATGGAACTCTTTAAAACTGTTCCCGCATATTCATGGCTATTTATTTATTTTCTCAAATACTGAAATTTACGAAATATAGTATAAAACTCATTTAAAAATGGTCAAGACGACATTTTAAAAATTTTTCCTATGTATTCGTTATTAAGGGTTTCACTGTATGAAGAATTTCATTCAGATTTCAATTTTTCCATAAAACCAAGATTGTCTAATTCTGAACAAAATTCTTCATATCTTCAGTAATTTTAAGAGCACAAAAATGAATGACGCAAATTATTTCAAAGATAAAAGACGACCTTCAATGATCACATCTCTACTATCAAGTTTCTTGATAATCAATTAATATTCGTTTTCTTAAAATGCTAGAAAACAAGTTACAAAAGTTTAAATTAAAAACCAACATATAAGGCAGAAGCTAGTTAAAGTAATAAGTGTAATTTATAGGTAATAAATACTTGAAAAATAAAATGTTTTAAAAAAGAACGCTTATCAAATTATCCTAAATCACTGCACTGACAAGCGGGAAGGAGGCTGGAGGAATAGGGGGCAGGGGCTCCTTTTTATTAGTGGGTTTAACTAGATAGCCCAATCTTTAGGCACGCGCCTCAACCCCCCGGCACGTGTTCAGGGTGTGCACACGGTGTGTTCATCGTGTTCAAGATTGTTGGTGGGTTGGGTGAACAGATGCTCAGAAATAATTCAATTAATTCATTAAAATCAAACCTGTTTAAAAATGTAAGTAAAGTTTGTTTGCAAAATAAAGAATAAAATGGTCGGTTAAGTGAAACAAGCTGACAAACAAAAAATGAATTAAAATCTTAAAAACTAAATATTTTCACAAGAACATAAGGAAAATGGTAGAACGAGATTTTTTCTAGAATAATCTAACGGAACACGATAAATTAAACTCTGTAATAATATATAAAATATATGAAAAAATAAAAAATACCTGACTTGAAAACTACTTGATAATCTGTATTTTTAATCCCTCAACACATTCACATGCTTCCGAGTTGAACTGTACTTTTTAATCACATTTAATAATTCAAAAATCAATTAATGAATAATCCATTGGTTTAATTAATATTTAAATACACAACATTTTTCAACCTTGTCAGCATAATATTAAATTAGTTTTTTACGTTTTACGTATCAGAAAAATAAACATTTTTCGTCATTTTACAGGATTTTATCCGAAAATCTTAATTTACGTTGTTTTAATTTGGAAATTTTTTCCGGGTTGGGAACTTAAAATGGCAGTTGAGGTAATTTCAAGTGACCTTCCATTTGAGAAAATGGAATGTCGATTCACAACAGTATCCTTTCAAACGTCGTCTAATCAGCAGCAGTAACTTGCGGATTTCTTGCTACAGATACAATGAAGGAAATTAAACAGTTTTCCAAGTAAAAAAAACGCAGCATCTTCTACCTTGAAGATCAGATGAAGGTTTAAATGATACCGTTGTGAATCGGAAATGGAGAGTCAACTGAAATTTAAATGACAGTTTCTAAATGCATTGACAAAATAAGAAAATCTTAATCCTCCTCTCGACATTAACAATTAAACAACCCCTTAATCCTCCTCTCGACATTAACAACAACCCCTTAATCCTCCTCTCGACATTAACAATTAAACAACCCCTTGATCCTCCTCTGGACATTAACAATTAAACAACCCCTTAATCCTCCTCTCGACATTAACAATTAAACAACCCCTTAATCCTCCTCTCGACATTAACAAGTAAACAACCCCTTAATCCTCCTCTCGACATTAACAATTGAAAGGAATTCGACCAATGAGAAATCAAAGAAAATGAGTTCAAAGATTACGAAGTTTAACTCATTTCTTCTATTTAAAGATTCCCAATGTTTTGATTATGTTAAAACGAACTGAAAATATCTTGATCTTGTTGAAAAATGTAATCTTAAACTAAACAAATAAAGGTAATTTAAAGCATAATCTAACTTATAAACTGTATGAATAATTATCTTACATAATTTTCATCATTATATCTTGCATTTATCTAATTTAAAGTTGTATGAACTTGTAACACTAGAAGTTAGTAAAGAATCGGAACAAGATTTCGAGATCTAGGATTCTAGTTTTCAGACTTAACCAAACTTTACTTCACTTAGATTATTAATGTGATGTTTCCTTATTAATCTATTGATGTATATGAAGTGTAAAGTTGAGTATGGATAGATGGCTAGATGTATAGACGGATAGATGGATAGATAGATAGCTAGGGTTCGGACTGGTCTAGTTAACTATTAATGCTCGACTGCTGGTGTATACCGGGGGAACCAGAGGTTTACCGGATTTCAGGGGGATCCCCCCCCTCCACTCCTCTCTACATTTCCCCTCAATCTTTCTCTTCCTATTCCTACTGACCCGTTCCTTTTCCTCCTTTAACCCTGTAAATATAATCTTTTTAATCCTTTCTACATAGTTTCTCATTTCTTTTTTTCCTTTTATTTTTTAAGATTAGCTTTTGCTTTTCTTATCTTATTATATAATATTTAATTTCCCCCATGTCTTAAATTCTATATTTTTTTTTCATTTCCCTTCATTTTCATATCTTTTAACGACTCGTATTCTCTAATAAGCTTTTTTGATATTATTTATTTCTCTTCGAAAGAATAAATAATTAAAAAATTTAATTCCTGTTCCTCTATTTTCTATTTTCTAATCTTCGTAAAATTTTTGTTTCTCTCTTTTTTATTCTAATCTTCTTAACATTCCTGTTTTTCTTTTTTCTAATCTTCTTGGCATTCGAACCTGTTTCTCTTTTTTATTTCTAATATTTTAACATTCCTGTTTTTCTCTTTTTTATTTCTAATCTTCCTAACATTCATGTTTCTCACTTTTTTACTAATCTTCTTAACATTCCTGTTTTTCTTTTTTTTATTGCTAATCTTCCTAACATTCCTGTTTCTCACTTTTTTATTTCTAATCTTCTTAACATTCCTGTTTCTCACTTTTTTATTTATAATCATCTTAACATTCCTGTTTCTCTCTTTTTTATTTCTAATCTTCTTAACATTCCTCTTTCTCACTTTTTTATTTCTAATCATCTTAACATTCCTGTTTCTCTCTTATATAATTTCTAATAATCTTAACATTCCTGTTTCTCTCTTTTCTAATTTTTAATCTTCTTAACATTCCTGTTTCTCGTTTTTTTATTTTTAATCTTCTTAAAATTCCTGTTTCTATCTTTTTTATTTCTAATCTTCTTAACATTCCTGTTTCTCTCTTTTTTTATTTCTAATCTTCTTAACATTCTTGTTTCTCTTTTTTCTAATTTTTAATCTTCTTAACATTCCTGTTTCTCTCTTTTCTAATTTTTAATCTTCTTAACATTCCTGTTTCTCTCTTTTCTAATTTTTTATCTTCTTAACATTCCTGTTTCTCTCTTACATAATTTCTAATATTCTTAACATTCCTGTTTCTCTCTTACATAATTTCTAATATTCTTAACATTCCTGTTTCTTTCTTTTTTATTTCTAATCTAACTTATTCAGCTGTCCCCCCCCCTTCCGAATTTATTTCAGCAGTTATGTTTTCTTCTTTTCTAATATTTATTGTTATTCCTCTTTCTATCTCTCCCTGATTAATCTTATTCTTTTAATTTCCTCGTCCTCATTTCTATTTTTTAGCATTTCTCATATTTTCAACAATACATATATGAGATGTTGTGATCTTCCATTACCCAACCTTAAAGGAAGTGACCGGCAATGTATGGTAGTTGAACTGAGAATGTAATTGAAGAGTAATTTTTCGGATTCATTTGAACAGAAGGTGTTTTTGGTTTTCTGTGTATTAAAGGGAGTGGAGATTTTTTTTAGGATTCATTAGAGAAATATAAAACGATTTAATGATGCATAATTATCGAGTTTGAGCGCAAAGTCGCCGTTCAAAATTATCCATTTGGGTGAGTACGTCTGAGACAAAAAAATGCAACAAAAATTCTAAAATAAACCAAATATTTGTTTAGAACCTCTTATCAACGAAAAAAACTTGTATTCAGTTAATTGTTTTTATAATGACTCATTGTTCACAAAACGGTTTCTGTAGATTTTCCTGAATTTTTCTTGAAAGAGGACATTTGAAGAATTTGAAGAATTGTACGAACAAATTCGTAATGAATAAGAAATTCATTTTAATGACGAAAAAGAAATAATTGATTCTAACATTGATTTATTGACAAAAATTTAGAAATATGTTCCTAAACATCTATTTAGTTTACTGTCGAATTTTTTAAAAATTTTTTGTCGTCGTTAATTAATAATAAAAAAGATGATTCTCAAAACGTACGCACCCAAATGGATGATTTTGAACGTCGACTTTGCGCTCAAACTCAGTAATTATGCATCAATAAAGCGTTTTATATGTCTCTAATGAATCCTAAAAAAAATTTCTACAATACTATATTCTCAGTTCAACTACCATCATTGCCGGCCACTCCCTTTAAAACACAGAAAACCATAAACACCTTCTGGTTAAATTTGCTTGTTTCCTATTTTGTATAAACACTGTACATAAAACATATTTTTAAACCATACTTCATTTTTACAACGAATATTATATCCTAATAAACTGAATATTCTACCTAAAGATATATCTGAGATTCATTTAACATACAAATCAAGGTTCAAAAGTCTCTTTCTTTGTTAATATTGAAGGTATAAAGAAAGGAATAGCTGTATTGTGTTTAGCTATCCACCCTTCTTACACAATACTCCGCCTGTATAAAGATATGATCTGAGATTGTTATTCCTCTGCTACTATTGGTCAGATTTATCGGAAGATTCCTCAGCTCCCCTCTCTATTGGTTAATATCAAACGCAGGGTCTGGATTTAGTTGGTGCAGTGGGGGGGGGGGGATACAAAGAGATACAATAGGGAGCAGAGAATGATAAGTTCTATGATGGCATAGACACAAAGTTGGTCCTTCCTTCCTTCCTTCCTTACTTCCTCCCTTCCTTCCTTCCTTTCTTCCTTCCTTCCTCCCTTACTTCCTTCTTTCCTTTCATTCCTCCCTTCTTTTTATTTTTCCCCGTTCTTTCCCTCCTTTCCTTCCTTCCTTTCCCTCCCTTCCCATCCTTTTTTTCCTTTCTTTTCATTCATTCCATCGAATTTTTCCCCTATTATAATAAAAATTAAATAAGCAGGTTTGCACATGGATAATTGACAGTGTCTCTATATTGGCCCAATTTGGCAAATTATATATCCCCTTCCTTCACCCCTACCCCACCTGAACCCTTCCCCTTTCCCCCCTACCCCTCCCTTTACTGAGGAGTAATTAAGGTGTTATTTGTAATATATTTATTGTGTAACAGATGATAAGAGATGATTATCTATCTATCAATAAATATCAATGTCTAGGAATATCTGTCAATCTAGAAGTATCTGAATACAAATATAATCTAAACAAAGGAATTGAGTGCCACAAACTCAAATCCTCTAATCCCTTAATATTTGTTGGTGTTAACCTTTGATATTTCAAACTTAGACTATTTGATCTAATATAATTCATAGTTTGAAATAAATGTACCTGAATTCCTTGGACTCCCTGGACTCCCTGGACTCCCTAAACTCCCTGAACTCCCTGAACTCCCTGAACTCCCTGAACTCCCTGAACTGAGAGATAGATGATACTGAGAGGACTCCCCGGACTACCCGGACTCCCTAAACTCCCTGAACTCCTTGAACTCCCCGGACTCCCTGAACTCCCCGGACTCCCTGGACTCTCTGAACTCCCTGGACTCCCTGAACTCACTGGTCTCCCTAGACTCCCTGGAATCCCTGAACTCCCTGAACTTCCTGGACTCTCTGAACTCCCTGAACCCCCTGGACTTTCCGGACTCCCACGACTCCTATGACTCCCTGAGCTCTCTGAACTCCCCGAACTCTCTGAACTTCCTGAACTCCCTGAACTCCCTGAACTCCCTGGACACCCTGGAATCCCTGGACTCCCTGGAATCCCTGGACTCTCTGGAATCCCTGGACTCCCTGGTCT